GTCTAGAAGCAGGCACAGCAAATATTTGCTGTTAGGAAGTAATTTTCAAGGCTAGACATCAGACACTGTGGTGTCAGGAGGCCCTGAAGGCATACAAGTTCTGTATTCCTTCTTCCAGTGCTCTTGTTCTGTTTTTCATATTTCATTCAAAGTCTCCACTGCTTTCGTGTTAATGTTTCTGCTTGTACTTATCCTTCTTAGCCCTTTTTCCTTTGAGCACACTCTAATGTTTCCTTGCTTACAGATAGTGTTGAAACGTTTCTGTGCTATGTGAAAGCACAAAGCTTTGTCACGTTCCATAGACAAAGCAAAAGTGTCCGCAGGCAGACAAATGAAAAGGAAGTGTTAACAGGTCTGAGCACTTGGCAAACTGTGGTCCTGGTGACTGTGCAGTTTACGCCCTCCTAGGGCTGACCCTACATAGCTCGCTCACATTTACTCAGACTTTCTGGTCCTGCCTTATCCTGTGGCATCCATACCGTTAACGTCAGAGCCAGGGAAGTATGAGTCCTCTTATGAGGCAGGTAACATACAATTTGAGGAAAGATGTCCAGTTTCCTGGAAATCCTGTGCAATGAATAAAGGAGTATGATTTGTGTTTGTGCGCATGCATGTGACTGATAGAAGTATGTTAAAAAAGTGGATCTTTAAAGGTCCTGAGTACGCACACTGGAGTACGTTTGACCCTTCCTTGCCACTGATTTATGCTGGTGCAGGATTCTCTGGGTTAGAATGTCCTTGAAATGTGTTTATCCATATTCCACAACATCTCATGGAGCCTGTGTTGCTGTACAGGGGAGGTTTTTGTGATCAATTAGGGGCTGCATCACAGTTGCAGTAACACATTTCTTCCTTTGCTTGGGATGCTAACCTAAGTGGGTCATTTGTGTTTGTAAGCATGAAAGGGAAGATTTTAGTGCTTAAAAATGTATTTTATTTATATGAGGATCCATTGTTTTTCAGAGACTTCTCATTTACTTTTATTTCAGGCCACTTTTATTGATCTAACCAAATATGGAATGGTCTTTTCCTCTTTGTCCCCAACTCATTCTTTAGTGACTCCCTCTTCCCCTGCACAACATGTACATCTACGGCGGAGTTTTTTTTTCAGCCTAACCTATTGGCAACTTACTTGTAATTACAATAGGAATTTTAATTCACTGTAAAGAGAACTGATGGATGTATAATTAACTAATGACAGTCTGTGGGACTAAGCATAGCAAAGTGAAAGCCATATAAGTTCAGAGCAACTGAGGTAAAACTTCATGCCTTCTCTGCAGCACATGGAAAAGTGAGTTCTGCCAGGCTGGTAAAGTTGAGGAGATAGTTTGAGAGCTTTGGGGAGGACAATCATCTTGAAGTGTTGGTAAAGAGCAGAAGAAGGAGTAGAGGGTAAGAACTGCAGGAAGACCTGCATCTTTCTCTCCCCATTTTTAACACTGTGATCTCATAACGAGAATGAACCTCCTATGCAGATCTGATTTCAGAGGCCAGATGCTGTTGGATGGGACTACCCTTCTCCATAACCCTTAACTCTTCCCCCTGCATGTGTCCATTGGCAGCAGTAGCAGAAGTCCCAACTCTGCTGCGCAGACACAGAGACCAGTGGGTCGGGTTGCCCTGAGAAAAGGAACAGGCCAAGAAGGCCATGCATCTGCTCCCCCTTGGACAGGCAGGCTTTCAGTGCTAACAGGATGGCTTTGCCTGTGCCAGCCTGATTCAGAGAACTGCTTGTGGACAAGCTGGCCTCTCAGGGAGTATGGAGGGAATTTTGTTCCTAATAGCCATGGTGCTTCTCCTTCAGGGGCTGAGCAGGCAGGACACGGAGGTGTCTCCTTGCCTTTGATTCTGTTTGCTCTGTTTGATGAACTCCAATGAGGTTATTGAGGCTGTGGTGAGGTGAGCCTGGCCTGTCTGGGGACTGGATCCTCTGGTCTGCCAGGTTTGCTTGGTATTGTCTGCTGGAGATTTCCATGGGGTGCTCTGCCTGTTTTGAGGAGAATCTCAGCTCTGTTCTGGAATCCTGGTGTGAGGGAAAGATGAGTGTGTGGAGGGACAGGGAGCAAAACTGAATTTAACCTACAATCTTCAGAAACAAGCGTTATCATAATGACAATGGGATGTCATAATGAGTCCCTACAGCCATCATACTGTGGCATGTGGTTGCTACTAGGGCAGAGTGGTGTATCAGGAGCCTGCTCTTCACTGTCACTGTTGCTGTTGCACTGAGTCCTGGATTTAGGCCATCTAAAATTAGCCCCCAGCCCTAAACCTCAGTCATACACCTGAATCTTCCTACGGCTGCCTTAATGCTGCCTGCATGCAGGGTCATAACCCTCTTGGTTATAAAAAGAACACTGACTTGGGAAAGAGCTGTATCCATTTTCTATCTGTTCTCACATCCTGAAATACTCCTACCTGTCCTTTTGTGCATCCCTCCTTTTAACATTGTTACCTTTTACCGTGTAAATGAAGAAACTTCAGATCTGTGCAGGGTGGCGATGAGTAGCTCCCTGTGCAGATGCAGCTGATGTTGAAAAGCAACCTGAGTAAAAATGTTAAAATTCCCCTAAATACTGAGATAATGTCTAGCACGTAGTTTTAAATAACAGGTAGTTCTTGATCCGCCATAGCGTTTCCAGTGACTCAGTGTGTCCCCCCCCCACTCCCTTGCAGTAATTACAGAGGAGTATTGTAATTCCTGACTCAGAGGGAGGTTTCCTTTCAAGGTTTTTGCCTGTGCTGGTGTTCCACCTCTGCAGCTGTATGGAAAAATTGTGGGGGACATCATGGAAGCAGATCCCAGGACTGCACCAACAATAATGTAGGACTGGCATATTTTTGAACTAGTGATAGGAAGCCATAAAATGGAGAGTTTGTTTTGGATTTGTGATCAGGGATTTGGTTGCCAGAATCTTGGCTATGACTCTTGTATCTCTTGAAACTGGGTGCTTACAACAAAGACATCCCAAGGTACGAATCTGGTGGCTTCTCTGACAGGCTAGGCTAAAAATCTTCAAAGTGAAAAAATTAGAAAGGAGTAAGTGTGCTCTGACTCAGATTTGTTGTGTTTGCATGACATTTGAAAGGAAAGTGTGTTCCTGCAGATTGTGGGAGCACAAGTCATGAAACTTAGGGGACAGGTCTGGGGATGTGCATCAGATTATGAAATGGAAACTGTGGGGAAGGGTTCCATGTGCATTGACCACTTAAACTCCATGAGCCTCATTATTTCTCCCTCTATGGAGGAATTCAGCAGGTACTGCAAGTCAGTAAGTCACATACACACTGACTATCTGCAGCTGGCCTGGCTGCTCTGGGAGCCACAGAATGGCAGCAGGGACATGCTGCCAAATGTGACCTGACAGCCCTGCCACAAGGACGCTCAGGACTGCAGGGAAGGCCAGCAGAAGTGGACCAAAGGGCTTGAGTCTCCTGTTTATCTTGTGAGATGTCAAATCTGACAGGCACATGGATGGGCCTTGATCGGTTTCGTGTTCAGGCAACCTCCATTCGTGATGTAGATCTTTAGGTTTAGTGGAGATGCACTCTTGGTGCCGCTGCAAGCAGCTGTGTACATCTGGCCACCACGTCTCTGCTTGTAACAAGTAGGTGTGAAGGTCAGCTTGCCACCACCTAAGTGTGTTCAGAAGCAGGTCTTTGAAAATTGGGTCAAGTTTCTTAGAGACAGGAATAGATTTTCCTGTGCCTTAAATGCTGTAGTGAACCCCCCTGTCTATGTTGAGGCAAATAAAATCTGCAAATGTGCTTTGCATTGTTTCAGCTTAAGCTTGAGGATATTCTTTTTAATTCTTTTTGCAGTGTTACTGTGAAGGTATGAGGGTCTTGAAATTTTTTATGATTATGGTGCAGTGTTTTCAAATGCTTAGGCCATAAAACATTACCTCTGAGCATGATATTTCCGTTTTTTGCTTATCAAAGAATAGAAATTTCTTCCCTAACCACTGCTGTGACATGTGTGGTGAAAACATGGCTATTCTGAGCATCTTCCTGTCAAAGTGTTAGTGCACTTAGTTCTGGGTTCACAAACCTCAGTTAGATGCCTAGGAGCCCTATGAAATAAATAGAAGATCTGGATGCCAGAGAGTGGGATGCACAAAAGCTACTGTCTGGCATCATCAAGGCAAAGCAGAAAAGAGGACTGCACATGAAATATTCTTACTCATTTGTATTTAAGCTTCAGCCCTGTATGAAGTAGGACATGCAATCTGAAACCTTTTCCTGGGTTTAGATGCTTTCACTATCCATCTTGCAGTAGACTACTAGCTTGGTATCTCAGTGACAACTCACGGAGAAGGTGGAGTACATGGTACCCACCACTTACATTACAAACTGAATATTTGAAATGCTTGCCTGGAAAGTGAGAATCTGTTCTTGTCTTGCACTGCTCAGGCAAGCTCCTGAGCCATCAGATGAAATAGTGTGAGTAGAGACACTCACTGGAACTGTGTGGGTGCAACAAAGACTGAAGGATCTCGTAGGGATAGGAGGGGAATGACTCTGAAGCTCATTTGAAAAGGCAGAGTGATATATATCTATGTACATATGAATCAGTTTATTTTTTTAATTAACAATTTATTTTCCCAAATCATGTCCCTGCTCCTAGGACTTCGGTGAGGGCTCTGACCATTATACTGTTGCATGTAATATAGGTGATGCCTCATCTGTGTGAGTTTTGGTTTGTGTTTGTTTTTTTTTTTTCTTTAATTTGATGTTAAGCAGCCTGACTGCAATGCTTTGTGCCAGTAAGATGAATGTTCTCTGAGAACACAGCCAAATTCAGGTCTTTTGATGAGGTGGGCTCTCAGTCACCTTCTTTATAAATTTTGAGTGACCTGAAGTGGGAGACTGGCCCTAAGATGTCAAGTAGTACATTTGGGTGTGGTGGTGCTTTTATGGATTTTAGATGTAAATTCACAGGCCTATAGAAGTGACTACATGGCTTGTGTGATGTTTCAGCTATCAATTTATCTTTTCAGGCTGAGTGGACTATTAATGACTGAATGGGCTCTGCTGGGAAGGCTTGTCCTCACACCATGACAGCTGATGTGTCAGAAGCTGGAGAGCTAGCTCTGGAGCCTCTACTCACTTGCAAGTTATGTCTCTGTGAATATTCCCTGGATAAGATGACCACTCTTCAGGAATGCAGCTGCATCTTTTGTACAGCGGTAAGACCTACAATGCCTTTACATTACAGAAGCAGGGTAATGGAAGATAGAACTGTGAAATGTGATTGCTTGTCTTGTACAAGAAGCATATGTTACCCATGCTGACAGAGGATGCTTTTCTAAAGAGCATGTGGTGTTAGTCTGTCTTGCCTTATTTAAAGGATTTCTCTGTCATTCTGGTTTTGAAAATTCATAACTCTGACAGATGGTCCCATAGCAAATAATAACAAATCCCAGTAATAAATGGGAAAAAAGATGCATTTTAAGACTGTTGGAGAACATACACAGTCTGTATGTAATCTCAGTATTTATTTTTTTCTGAAGAAAAATCTTGAAACATCATAAGATAGCTGTGAGGTGTTGTTTCCCTGTTATCATTTTCTGAGTTCTCAGAGACATTTAAACTCTTCTACTTAACTTTTAAGGACAATCAAAAAACCTAAACAAAAATGAACCTTGACCTATCGAACCTTTGCCTCTCTGCAGTCTGTGCTGCAGAGATGTTGCCCAGGTCATGCATTGCCTATGGTTGTAAGTAAAGACTTTCTGTCCTGCAAATTCAGATCAAATAAAGCTGGTGGAAATGATAAAGGGAGAGGTTGAGTGAACTGATAAGAGCCCTACAGATAGTAACAGTCTTCTGGTCTCTTTGTCAGCATGCAAAAATGGGTGTAGTTTCTCTGGTGATAGTGACTTTGATGTGGTTGACTAATGGATTTTGGAAACAGGTCAGAAGTCACTGGAGGATGTTGGTGTTGGTTTTTTTTTTTAACTCCCAAATAAATGTACCTGGCTTTATTTTTTTAACAATGAACTGTGGATAAGCATCAGTCAAGTATGTTTAAGTTTTATCCTTGGTTGTTTGAACTCATAGAAGAAATTTGGTATTTGTGAAGCCATCTTGAGTGAAAATATCTTCACTTACACTGAACTCAGGGTAGCTTAAGTAGGATGACAATCTAGCTGTGTGCTTCAAGAAACTAGGGTAAGATTGATTTATATGCATTTCAACCTGACGTTCATGAAGTTTGTTTCCCATAGTGACTTCCACAAAACAATTTTGTATTTTAGTTCGTAACAAAAATTTTAAGAGCGCATACCTTAGGTAGGAAGATACTGCTTTAAATTGAAAAAAAAAATAAATGGAGAAGTTGATACTTCTACAGTGGCCCCATTCTTCTCTAAGAACTCAGTGTCTCTGATTTAGTATCATTAATGGCACATTAACTCAATGTTAGCTGCGTGAAGTAATCCTTCTGCCCTTGGAGAAATTGAGTTGCTGAGGCCTGTGCCAGGAAGAGCTGGACTCTCTACTCCTCCAGGACACTGGCCAAAGGGAGAGGTTGGTGATGGCTTGGAGTTGTTGCTGTCCCCACCTATTGTTCCCTGTTGGTGCCACAGCTTCCACCCCATCCACACACTCCTTACCTGGTCAGTAGCAAGAAGAACATCTCCTGTGAGCTTGGCTCTCCAGTGCCATGACAGCGATGTGGAGACTGCAGTCACAGTTGTTTGCCATCTGTGCAAACTTCACTGACTTTGTCTAAACCAAGAGCCAGCCATGAGTGAGCACCGAATGCAGCTGGGAGAAGTCTTTAGACATGCTCTATTTATTTCAGTGGGTGTAATAGGTCTCAACTGTGCTTATGCTTCACATCTACCCTTTGTCTGACTGTTGTTGTCTGTGTCTGAATGTCCTCCCGATGGACATGTCTGGGCTGATGAAATAGAGACGTGTAGAACTTGCATCCTGTAACAAGAGGGGTTCTGGAAACTTTTAACTTTTAAGCTTTCTGTCTTGAATCCAGAGCATTTTCTGTGAGGCCATATGAGTTGCTTATTCAAGCAGCCTCCATAGAGCAGTGTCAGAAGCAGCTTGACACAAAGTGCCTCGGTGCTGGGGATGGCATGGGAGATTGCTCAGGGCACAGCCTGCAGCAGCTACACTGGTGTGCCATTCCCAAAATTTCCTCCCACTCATGCCAGGGCATCTAGATACCTTCACACTACCCTTAAGACAGATGTTGGAGTAAGAGTGTCAGCTGTGAGCTATGGGATCGAGCCCATATCTTTTTCAGCTAACAATGCTTTCAGCTTGTAAAGCTTATTCTTATTTTCTGTCACTAAGGTTAATTTTATAGATCCAAGAGTAGTATGAAGTTTGAAGTACAAAGGGGCTTGACGTGGACATAATGGGTTCTGCTCCACTGAGATGAAACAATTAGTTTTGTTAAATTTTCATTCTGTTACTTTTTTTTTTTCTAACAATAACAATGATTCTGCAACTATGATTATTTTTCACTACAGCATTTGTGGCTTTGGAAATAACTGGAAATTTTTACTATTTAGACATCTGCAGGGGGCGAGATTATATTTCCTTTTCATTTGTAGCCTGTAAAACCAAGGCAATCAAATGAGTTGGAATTTTGTACAGCTATGTTTTCAGCTCAGAAACTCTTGGAATAAACATTATACCGTGTGAAAGCTGTGTTCTAGCCAAATAAAGCAAACTGTGTTTAAGAAGGTGTATGTTTGCATTTTGGTGGAATGTTGCTAGTAAGACAGGAGTTTTTCAAATAGCTATAAACATTTTTACTCCCTCTGTTTAGAGCAGAGAAAGCAGATGATTTGCAGAACACACTTGCCATCTTGTCGAGGACCAAGAATTAGAATGGGAATGATTTCAGAAGTGGAAAAATATGTACAGCGATTGAATGGACTTTATGATGCAGACTTTACAGTTATTATGTATATACTCATTGTATGTTTCCCCAGAATTTGTATTTCCTGGGCATGTCCCGGCTTGTTCACTTCTCTGCTCCCCTGTTTCTCTGCTGATTAGCCGGAGAAGCTGCAGAGAGGAGACAGCCCCCATTTACCCTTCTCTTCCCCGGTTCCTCCTGCTCTCCTCCCCCTTTTGCCCATGTACCTATCCTGGTTTGTACCCCTGCTTGTCTCTCTCATGCTCCGCCCCATATTCTGGCCCTTTCCCCTCCTGAGCTGATAAAAAACCACGTGCACACTGGAATAAAGGATTTTACCTGCACCCCACCTTGTGTCCTGGACCCGTGCTGTGCCACGGCCCCATCCCCCCTTCGGACCGCGGCACCATCTGACAGTGGTAGCCCAACCAGGTCTGAAGAGGCCTCAGCTTTGTATTTCTCAGCGTTTTTTGCACTTGGCGTGGGACTCCATTGGAATGTGAGATAAAGCACACATTCACACATTCCAAGAACCTGGAAATGGCTATAGTGTACCGGATGACTTGATTTCATTGTGTATGGATTTATATTAGTTTTGAATGAAAGGCTGGTCTCTGCAGAGGGTTGGGTAAGGATGTGAGGTATATTTTATCTGCAAAAGTTTTAGAGGACTGCACTTTACATTATTCAGTTCATTTCCTATACCTGTAAAACCTTTGCAGAGTGCCATGCTGTGGTGCACTCTCTTACATACCGATCTTCAGCAATATGTGTATTGCTTAAGCTGCATGGTTTTATGCTACTTGCCCCATTCAAAAAAATGGAGGGGGTCTCATCTGTTCCTCATACTGCTTATCTCGTTTCTTGTCTTGCCACTCATCCTTGTATATTTGGGGGATGTCCTTCTTATCAGCAGTCCCTTGTGTTTACCTGGTGTTGTAATTTTTTCTTCCTTGGATATGCAACTACACAGATTTTTGCCCCTGTGGTGGTCACAGGGCTTACATATGTCCATAAAATACTTATACATTGTGTCTGGCTACATCATCACAATATTGCGGTATTTTGGTGCACTTATATCCAAAGCAAACTAATGATAATTACATCCTGGTTGACCCACATACAAAATAATATTTTGAATATTATACTTATTTCTAATCAGATTTCCTCCATGTTTGCTCTTCTTCCCTCCCCAGAGAGCTCTAGCAGTGCTCTTACCTCACTCAGATAAGACTCAGGAGCGCTGTGGTGGGGTAGTGCCAAAAATGGATGGGCCATCCACCCCGCTTTGCCTTTGAGTGTTGCTTTGGTTTGGTGCTCATTAAACTGGCTGGAAAGTATACATCTTGGAGACTCTCACCTTTTCAAAACTTGGCTGAAACTGGGAAAATGTCAGGGAGAGACAGTGAGCGGTGGGATCACATGCATCTCTCGTCCTCTTGCTGGAAGTGCCCTGGTGTCTAGCACAGCATAATTAACCCTTTGGAAGCGTTAGTGAGGAGTGCAGGACTGCAATAATATTGGAAATACCAAGGGCCCTGTGAGAGATTTTAGCAGGTGTGATAAGATTGCCCTGGTGGTGATGACAAAAGAGAACCAGTGCAGTGCTGTTATGAAGAAGGTGGTCTTAGGGGGTCAGCAAAAAAACTGATGTCAGCTTTTTCCCTGCACATCTATTCTTTTTGGTTTTGTCTTTCCTATTTTTTCCACTACTTCTAAGCCAGGTGAGCAATAAATGGCATTGCTGCTATCTATGTCAAGTAGCAGCTTACATCCATCTAACTTGTGTGTTATTTACTGGCACAGGGTTCGAGATGCTGAAGACAACATGTAACAAATTGAAAACAGAAGATGCTTTCAAGTATGTTATTCTGTTGTCAGCACAGGTTTATGCAGAACTAGCATGAGCACAGGTTTATGCAGAACTAGCATGATTCACCCTTCTTTTTTCCCAAGCAGATTCTTTGTTCAGTCTTGTGCTTCTGAGAAATGTGTGAGGCAACTGGGTTACAAACATGCAAAACAAATACCATGATGATCCACCTGTTTGCTATTTTGGTGCACAAAATAAAGTCAAAATGAGATTAAACTTAATGTAGCCTTAAAAGCAGAAATCGGTGTGGAAGCCCAGGTAACTTCCACGCTGTCTTATGCTTCTGTAAGTAGAAGATATTCTGAAGACATTTGGAGAAAAAAAATTCTGCTTGTAGCTATGTGTTACAGCGAGGCTAGGGCTAGACATGGACTGAAAAGGTTCTTTTTGCTGCTGTGGACATTCTGGTGCTCTGGGCAGCTGCC